TTTAGTTTAATTAATTTTGAAAAAAAAAAAAAAAATTAAATTTATTTATTTATTTAATTTATTTATTTGATTATTTATTTATTTTATATAAAAGTCATGTTGAGAAATTTCTTTTTATTTTTTTTTTATAATTTAATTTTTATTTATTTTAATTTTAATTTGTTGTATAATAACCATCACTTTAAATAATCCTTTTTGTTTAATAATATGATGGTGATTTAATAACAAAAAAAAATATTTAAAATAATAAACAATTATATTAATTAATATTACATTTCTATAGAAATATATAATAATATAATTGAAAAAAAAAATAGCACAAATTTTTGTGAAGATTATTTATTTATTAATTTTTTTTTTCTGATTTAATTTAATGATTATTTTTATTATTATTTATTACACTAACTGTATTTATAATTCAATTTTTACCTTTTTCTTTTATGTAAATTTAAAGATAATTTGAAAGAAAAATTACAGTTTTCTTGTTGTTGTTTTTCACTTAATAAAACAGGAGACTAATAATATTTTTTTAAAAATTTAGTTTCAAAGGTAATTTAATTAGTTAATTAATTTTTTTTATATGTAAAAATAATCTCATGGGAAATATTTTTGCATAGATTTCAATGAAAAAAACAAGTTATTTGTAAAATCAATTTTTTTTTTTAAATTTGATTAAATTTTTTTAATTTTTGCAAATTATGATTTTTCTTTTTGTAAAAAGGTATTTATGATAACAAAAAATATCTTTTTTTTTTTTATAAAAAACCATATAGTCTATGATTTAAAAACTACCCAATATTAACATATATATTCAAAATTTTTCATTTTTTCATTTCAAAAATATCAATTTTTTTTTTTTTTGTAATTTAACAGTTTTTTTTTTTAATTACATTTTTTTTAATTTTATTTAAAAAAAATTTTGAATATTCATATTTAGTTTAATCATAAAGAAAATCATTATCTTTGGCTTTATCCATAATTTGTATTTCGATATTATGAGTTAAAAACATTCTTAAATAATATCTTTTTATTTTTTTTTTTATTAAAACTTTCTTATATTTTTTTATATTTTTTTATATTTTTTTTGTAAATTATCCAAATTAAAAAATTGTACGATTTTTTTTTTTTTGATTATAATTACATATTTTCTTTTGATTATATTGATAATTATTTTTGTACATTAATAACAACTCAACACAAAAAAAAAATCTTTTTTTTTCAAATAAAATATTTTTATTTCCACTCCTCACATTTAAAAAAAAGTGTGATAATGATTTTAAAATTTAAAATAACTTTTATATGCATACCCAAAACTAAAATCAAAAAGCGCTATTGTGATTTAACCAAATTTAACAATTTATTAAAATCTCGTAAAAAAAAAAAAAAAATATTGACCATATCAAAAAAAAAAAATTTGCAAATAAAATAATAATGATTGAAAAAAATAAAGTTTGTATTTTTTTTTACACTCTGGGTTTTTGAAGGTAACAATTTCAATTTGATTAGTATTTAATAATTCGAGATTTTTTGACCCTTTCTTTCCTTTTTAAATTCTTTTAATATTTAAAAATTTCGAAGGTAATTTTAACTTTATATTACAACACTAAATAAAATTTCCTATTTTTTAATAATCTTTTTTTTTATAAAAAATTTATATTATTTTAAAATCTATAAAAGGGGTTCAAATTTAGTTTTTATTTTAATTCAATTCAAAAAATATATTATTCAACAAACAAATAAAAACATATTTATATATTATTAAAATGAAATTAATTATTACACTCTTAATTATTTCCCTTATTGCTTTTGTTAATGGTAAATATATAATTCAACATAAAAATTTTATTAAAATTTTATTAAAATTTTATTAAAATTTTTTTTATTTTTAAAATTTAGGTTCTTATAACTGTGCAAAACTTAGTTGTCAAGGTACTGATAAATGTAAAACTTATAGCTGCACTTCATATTATGGATGTACTTCTACTGATAAATGTGTAACTGATATGTGTAATGTTGCTTCTTGTAATGCTGCTACTGGTAATTGTACTATTTCTCCAATAAGCTGTAACGATGGAAACCCATGTACAGATGATTTCTGTCACCCAGGTTATGGTTGCTACTCTGTTCCAAATTCTTGTGATCCAGCTGTTGTATGCCAAAACAACTGCAATGATAATAACAAATGTACTAATGATTTCTGCGATCCAAATAATAATTGTTTCCATGAAACTCCAACTATTCCATGTCAAGATTTCAATGCCTGTACTGTAGATTCATGCGATCCAATCAACGGTTGTTCCAATACTCCATTATCATGTGATGATAACGATCCATGTACTGCTGATTATTGTCACATTATTTATGGTTGTTATCACGAACCAATCGAATGTTCAATTAAAGTTCCATGTACCAAAAACAGCGACTGTAACAGAAACAATGGATGTGAAACCTTTACTTGCGATTTAACCAGTAACACCTGTGACTATTATGCTAAAAACTGTAATGGTAATCCTTGTATTAATAATCAATGTACCACAGGTTCAATCACAAATTAATATTTAATTCTATATTTATCTGTTAAATCAATATTTTATTAATTTAAAATATTTATGTATATATTAATGTATATTTTTATTAAAACAAAAAATAAAAAATAAAAAATAAAAATAAAAATAAAAATAAAAGCTTTTAAAAAAATAATATTATTTATTTATTTATTTATTTTATATATTAAACTAATTTTTAAAATCTCTAATTTCATTAATGATATCGTTTGCTTTTCTTAAAACTTCAATCATTGCTTTGCAAGATTTTCTCTTTGATGAAATTTGTGGGGATTCTTCTAATAATTCATCAAATAACTCTTCTCTGTAGAGAGCAGCAACCAATTCATTTTGGATGTGTTCTTTTGATTGGTTAACTAAGAAATGCATAATTGATTTTGGAACGCTATCTTTGACATTCTTCTTTACAATGTTGAAATAACTAACCAAAAGCTCACGGATTAATTCGGTTTCGAATTTCTCTCTGTTATTTAAATCATCATTGGTTCTAATGACATTTGGAACTTGGCTTAATTTTTCGCTTCTGCCATGTGAGAAATCATCTTGATAACGGTTATTATATGAATTGGATGATTGATATCTATTATTGCTATTACTATTACCAAAGCTATTACTATTATTATTAAAGTTATTTTGTTGTTGTTGATTATTTTGTTGTGATTGTTGATTACCGCTTTGTTGATTACCAGAATAGTTATTTTGTGATGGATCTGGTGAAGCTCTCCAGAATGAGGATAAGAATCCAGATTGTTGTTGGTTATCCATACCTCTGTTTGATGCGCCACTGCTCATACCGCTTGGTGTAGCTGGACCTTTACCACTTTGTGGTTGTTGTTGTGGATTGCTTGGACCTTTATTTTGTTGTTGTTGTTGTGGATTCATACCGTTACCGCCAGTACGTTGGTTATTTAAAAATGGATTATTGAAATCTTGGTTTTGTTGGTTACCACCACTTTGTTGCTGATTATTTTGTTGATTGCTATTGCTACCACCTTGTTGATTATTGTTTTGTGGTTGGCCCAAGAAAGTATTTTGGTTATTTTGGAGTTGTTGTTGTTTTTTATAATAGGACTCAAAGATGCCTTCACCACCTACAAAATCTGGATGAGAGGTATTGATAAAGGCAGTTTCTATTTTCATGAGGTTTTCAATCATTATTTTAGTTGGAGCTTTATGTTTTTGGAGGAGATTATTGACAACTTCGATAACTCTTGACTTGAGGTTAATAAATCTTGATAATTCTTTAGCTTCTAATTGAGTTACAATTCTTTGAAGTTCATCATAAACATATTCAACACATTGAGTACTTGGATCTTCAAGACGTGAAACTTGTTTTTTAACTAAAAGTTCAAAAGAAATTTCTGGGATGAAAAGAGCAGCACGTGGACCTGTAGCATTACGCATAGTTGTTCTGATGTCATTTAAAGAAATACCTTCTAATGGATCGATATTATTGATACATTGGGCATAGATTTCATTAAAGATATAAGAGATACGGGCACCACCATATAACTCGTTGGTTGAAAGATCGGTAAGCTTACCATCGATGGCATCTTTAAAATTACTACTAAAAATTGTAATAATTTGAAGAAGAAGAGCACCTTGGCTGTTCTTGGTATCGTATAATGGATCACCATAGGTACTTAATTCACCTTGAACCTCAGATAACATCTTGCTGACCTTACCTTTGAGATCTGGTAAACAATCTCTGATATGGAACATTAAAAGTTTATTGAGTGACTTGGAGAGATAAGCAGTACCAGAACGATTAGCAATTGTTTTATAAATTGGGTGGTTCTTGAAGAATAAAACTTCACTCTTTAAAGATTCTCTAATTGATTTCTTTGCAATAATATCTTCTTGTGAACGATTGATTACACCAATGAAACCTAATGTTAATGGAATAACACGTCCAGTTAAAACATCCATAGCATCGGTACCCTTATCCATAAGATCAAGTTTAGTAATAACACCAATAGTTCTTTTACCTTCTGGATCAACTTCTTTGGCTAATTGAAGTGCATCTGAATTTGCTAAATCAGTATTGGCTGGTGTAACTGCAACAATAATAGCATTTTGTTTCTTAATATATGCCATAATCATTCTTCTAATTTGTTGTTCGATATCTGATGGTTGGTCTCCAACTGGTACCTTGGTAATACCTGGTAAATCTACCAATGTTAAATTGACGACGTGTGGTGAATAAATTTTTAAATTGATTGGTTGTGCTGAAATACCTTTATTTTTACCTGTTAATCTATCAGTATCACGAATAATTTCTTCTCTAATTTCAGAAAAATCGTAAAACATATCATTTGGTCTATGTAAAAACTCTCCCCATTCTGATGTTGGTGAACCTGAAAAAAAAAATGAAACCGTTAATTTCTGTATTATATATTTTACACAATACCTATTTATATTTACTTACCATCATCAGCCATTGGCAAATGGGTTAATTGTAAAATTAAAGGTCTTCTAGTTACAATACCAGAGCCTCTTGGTAAAAAATCTCTACCTACTATATTTTCTAATACTGACGATTTACCTGATGATTGTGAACCAACAACTACAATTTGTGGTAAATCCAATGGGTCTGTGCCTAGTGTATTAAATACATCTTGGAGTTTATTGATAACTGGAATTAATTGATCCATTAATATGTAACGTTATTATTAAAAGTACAAATTATATGTATGAAATAAAAAAATAATTTACAAATGTATATATATAAAATATTGTGTTTATGTGTTAATGTGTGTAAAAATAATAAATAAAAAAAAAATTATTTTTTTATTTATTTAATTATTATTATTATTATTATAAAATAAAAAGGGGGGATTTTTAAATTATAATTTTATTTTAAGTGAATAAAATAGAAAAATAATAGAATTAATAGTTATATATATAAAATTTAAATATAAAAAAAAAAAAAAAAAAAAAAATCTAAATTGCTCGCAGCCTGTATTTTTAATAATAAAAAAAATAAAAAAATGTATTTTTAAAAAAAAAAAATAAAAAAATAAAAAAAAAAAAATAAAAAAAATAAAATTAAAATTAAAAAAAATTAAAAAAAATATAAATTTTATTTTTTTAAGTTATAACTTATTCAAATTTAAATTTTATCTCTTTTTTTCAGGCTCACTTAAACTAAGCAGATAACTCCTTGAATAATTTTGTCTTCTACAATTCAATTTTTGATTTTTCAAAGTATAAAAAAAGTTGATTCATAATAGTGCGTCACTATGTGTGAATATTTAATTTTTAATTTTTAAATTTTTAATTTTTAATTTTTTAATTTTAATTTAAATTTTTAAAATCAAAATAATACCCTATTTAGGGAACAAAGTGTTTTCCCTTGATTATTTATTTTTAAAAATAAAAAAATAACCCACAGTGCTTATGTGGTATGTGTTGCCACATAGGCATTAAAATAGAAATAAACTAAACTTGTTTTATATTCTCTTTAATTTAGATTTAATTTTTAGTTCTTAATTTTTTTAAATAAGAAATTAAAGAGATAAATAAATTATTTTACAATGATATATTATAAAAAAAATTTTATTATTTTTTTTTATTTTTTTTGAATTTTTTTTTTTAAATTTTTTTTATTTTTTTTTTTTTTGAATTTTTTTAATTTTTTTTTTGATCATTTCTTTTCTTTTTTTTTTTAAACTAAATTTTCATAATCAAACAACACAATGATTAGACAAATCATTAATAAAGCTAATAACCAACAAGTTGTCAGAAGAACTTTCTGTACATATTTTGAAAAAAGAAATAATAATACACCATACAGCACAGATCCAATTGTTGATGTAAACGAAAAGAAAAATAACGTTAACAAATATTTCGAAACATGTAAATTATCAACACAGCACCAAAATTCCCACTATTATACTATAGTTATCATTATATCACCACCATCATCATCAGTGGAATAAAAGTATACAGCATCTACAATAATAACATTAATCAACACGATTCACAAAAAGTAAATTCAGCTATTGATAAACAATTTCCAATTTAGAATTCCAATTAGATCAAAAAAGTTATTTACTGCAAATAAATTAAAATTTTCAACACATCTAAATATTAAAGAAAAACAATATTATAACCTTTTATTGCTCATAATAATAATAATAATAATAATAATAATAATAATAGCAATAGTATTGATGATGGTGAACAAAAATTAGAACGATAATTATATACTATTAAACAATATAGTATAATAGTGCTGGAAACCATAATAATATTAATTTTAATAATATATTAATGTTTATCTTTATATTTTTATAGATAGCAAACACAAAACCTATGTTTCATTTTTAGATAAAAATTCAATTACTACACCAGCAGTTAAAGGTCTTTATCCAAGAAGTGGTTTAGAAGAATTTGTAGCTCCATCAGCATCAGTTATTGGTAATGTTAATTTAGGAAATTGTTCAAGTGTTTGGGATCATTGTGTTTTAAAAGCTGATGTCAATTACATTCACATTGGTAACTTTACCAACATTCAAGATGGTACTGTTATTAGAGAAGCTACTGAACCATTATCCATCGACCATAATGGTAGTACTATTATTGGTGACAATGTTACCATTGGTCATGGTTGTATTTTAGAAGCTTGCACTGTCGAAGAAAATTGTTTAATTGGTATGGGCTCAATTTTAGAACCAGAATCATATGTTGAAGCCTATTCAATTGTTGGTGCTTCATCAATTGTTACCAAAGGTACCAGAATCAAATCTGGTCAATTATGGGTTGGTAAACCAGCTAAGTTTGTCAGAGAATTATCAGAACAAGAAATTATTGATATCGGTAATCATGCCAACTCATACGTTCTCAATGCTGAACAAGCTAGAGCATCATTTAATTTAGATAACGATTCATTCCTTTACGCCCAAGCTGAAGAACAAGGTATTTCTGTTGGTTGGAAAGGTGAATACTTCCCAGAAGCAGAAGAACCAAAAAATTAAATAATCATTAATAAATAATAATAATAATAATAATAATAGTAATATAATAATAAATAATAATAATAATAATATTTTAATTTAAACCAAACTCTAAATACTAAAACTAAAAACTAAAAATAAACAATTTAAAAAAAAATTATAAAAAAAAATAAAAAATAAAAGAATGTAATTGATATAAAAAATACAATTATAAAATAAAATAAAAAAAAGATATAAAATAATACAAGGTAATACATTTTAAATCTTTAAATATTTAAAAAAATACTTTAATTAAAAAATAATTCATAAAAAAGACTTTACTTATTATTATTATTATTATATTGATATTGATATTGATATTAATATATGTATTTGTATTGGATTTGGATTTGGATTTGAATTTGAATTTGAATTTAAATTTGAATTTGAATTAATATGTACTGTATAGCAAATTCACTTTTGATACTAGATAAATGAGCAAAAACGGTAATGATATAAGACATAGATTTAAATGACCTTGGTTCAATTAATTGATCTTTATAGTTTAGTTGAAGCTACCTAGTGCCAATTCATTCCATGGTTTTTCTTGTTTTGTTTGTTCTTTTAGAAAAAAAAAAATAGTTAATATACAACCAAAATCTTTTTGAAATGATAGCTATATACTTACTTAATAGTTCGTCAAACTCATCATTTAAATTGATATTTTCAACAATTATTGGATGTTTGATGGCTACGGTTAGGGATTAAAACTCTGTATTAATAATAAACACTAAAAATATATATTTTATATATCAGTTTTGATACATACTTTCTTGAGGAAGAGTTTCCTTTTCCCATGATTCATCTACAATATCAATTAACTTTCTATCTGAATGTATATACAAGGAATATGAACTATCTGACATTACTTTATTATTAATACACAATTTATTATTACTATTATTGTTCAATTAATTTCGCACCAAAATTATTTAAAAATTTTAAAAAAATTTTTTATTTTTATTTTTTTATTTTTTTATTTTTATTTTTATTTATTTTTTTTATTTTTTTTTTTGTAAAATCTATTATTTATAATAAAAAACAAAGATTTGATAACTTTATTGTAAAGAGTAATTATTAATTTAAATTTTATATTAATTTAATAGAAAATATTTTCTATTTATTTGTTAATTATATTTTATTTTATATTTTTTCTAAACAATGGATATTCCACTAAATATAAAACTAAATCAAATAATCTTATTATAAATACAGTTAGTGATTAAAAAAAAAAATAACTATTCCAAAAAGTCTTTTTTTTTTTTTATTTTTTAAAAAATCTTTTTTTAATTTTTTTTTTATTTTTTATTTTTTTTTTAAAAATAAACATACCCACACATATTTTTTTACAATATAACTCTCACACCTTATTATTTATTTATTTTTAATAAAAAAATAGTAGTCTAATAAATTAAATTATATAATTTTTTATATACTCTTTTTATTTTTTTTATTTTTTTACTTAATCATATTATATTGTGTTTTTTTTTATTTTTATTTTTTATATAAAAATAATTAGTTTATTCATGACAAATAAATAGTTTATAGATATAAATAATAATATATACAGAATATAGTAGAATTAGTTATAGCAGTAACGCATTAATTAATAGTATAGAAAATAATATATAAATAATAAAGAGAAATGACAAAAGAATTCGAATTTGATATTTTAAGACAGTCTCAAAATAGTAGTAACCACCTTAGTAGTAGTGGAGGTGGCGGTGCTGCCTCTGTTGTTTCAAAAAATAAAACTATTCTCGATGAAGGAAGAGTAAATATTTATAAAAAACACAATCTATCATGTAATTAATGCATGCAATACTAATTTATTTAATATTACAGCATATATTTATAACAAATCAAACCACTACTGTAAACGAAGAGGTTTCATTTAAAGAACTAATTGAATTTTTAAAAGAGCAAATGAATGATAATAATAAAGATAAATATGAAAATAAAATTCATTATTGGGTAGATCTACAGGGAATAGAGAATGATGAAATTTCGGAACTTTGCGATTTACTTTCCATCCATCCTTTAACAAAAAAAGATATTATTAGACAGGAGACAAGAGAGAAGTGTGAGTTCTTTTCAAACCATATATTTTTAGTAGTAAACGAAATTCATTATGCACCAGGTAGTAATGTTCTTGTAGCTGCAACATTAAATCTTTTATTATTTTCAAGAATAGTATTTACAATTCATAACGAAGAACTCCTATCAACACACCAGGTTATTAGAATGTTAAAATACACACAAAACGGAGGATTACCATCATCAGGTTGGATCATTTATGCTTATTTAGATAGTATTGTCGATATTTATATAGATTTAGTCGATAAAATTATGTTGGAGACACAATCACTGGATGAATTGGTATTGGTATTAAGTGGTATTAAGCAGAACGAACTATTCACTCGTATAGGTTTAGCAGGTCGTCGTGTTACAAATTTACATAGTGGTGTTTTTGGAAAAAGTGAAATCATTTCAGTACTCCTAAGGGATGAAAAACTAATACCATCAGATATGATGAGATATTTAAATAATGTTCAAGACCATGTACTTAGAATGCTACAAAAACTGGCTCTTTCCCAACGTTTACTTTCAAATTTAAATAATATTTATATGGCCAGAGTCTCATTGGAAGTAAGTGATGCCTCAAATAGTGTCAATAGAAATATGAGAAAATTTACCGCCATTAGTACAGTTTTTATTCCACTAACTCTTTTATCTGGTATTATGGGTATGAATGTACGTTTTCCAGGTATGGTAGGCTTTCCAGGTGGTGACTCTTATTACTATTTTATAGGTATCTTATTAATAATGTTGGTTTTCTCTGTTGTTGTATCTAGTTTATTCTATAGGGCAAAATGGCTATAAATAATAATAATATAGCTAAAATAATAAATTAAAATAAATAACAAAATAAAAAATAAAAACAATAATATAAATTATATTATTTTATAGAAAAAATAAAAATATTGCATAATTGTAAATAATAAAAACTAAATTAAATTATTTGATATACTATTTAATTTTTTTTTTTTATTAATAAATAACTTGGTAAAAGTAGTTGTAGGTTTGTAATTAATGAAGTAATAATTAAAATAGAAAAATAAAGTAAAATCAGATTAATAAGAGTGATGTTTTAAAATATAATAAAAATAACTTTGTTTGAATTTTATAATGGAAAAAAATGGTCTTTGGTGAAATCTGAAATCTTGTTTTTTAAATTAATACACTGGCTAATTGTGATATCTTTTGAATTTCTGTAACTTTTACATTTTAAAACCTTTTTAACAGCAACTTGATAATCTTGAAACTTGGGATAGAGTTTTAACATTAAATCGTTTGCAGATATAATACATGTAGCACAAATCTAAAAACAATAAAACAAAATTGAAAACTAAGTATTGGTTATTAAAACATTTTACCTATAAATTATGATTTTTACTTCACCACTGAGTACTTCTGTGTCATTTATGACTAATAAAGCAAAATCCATTCTTTTTACTATATTAAATGCTCTTTTGTTTTCTTTTTCACCGCTACTACCCAGACCTATATAATAATAAAAAATATTGTTTATATAATCTTTTATTTATATAATTTAAAAGTTTTTTTATAATACTTACCAACCATAATAAAATTCTCCCATGATCTAATGTATTTTTCTGATTCTAATAAAATGAGGAAAAAATAAAAGCTACCAATTGAATGAATAATAAAATTGCTTATTAATGATTTTATTCTAATGACCTCATTTCTGTATCGAAATGACCCATATGGTATTTGGTATAACTCATCAGTTCCAATATATAATGTGTTTCTTTTATTAGCACATTTTTAATAATACTTGATTCGCTACTAATTGTGATTCCTTTCTTACCAATAAATACTCCAAAATATCTTTTAATACTCTTTGCTGGTATTACATAATCATCAACTATAATATCGCTTTGTACTTGATTGTAATCTTTTAATTCCATATCTATTTGTTTTAATCTTTCCTTAATCTCCTGAACTTTTTCGTTATTATTTAAAAATATTGTATCTATTTGTAATAATTGTTTATTTAAATTTATTTTCTCTTGTTCTAATTTTAATTTTTTCTTTCTTTTTTCCAATACAGGACATGAATGGGTACCATCACTATTAATTATACATTTTTCATACTTTTCAATCTTTGGAACATTTAAAAATTCTTTTATTACTTTTTCAATTGTTTTTTTTCTTTCTTTTCTTTTATCTGAACTATTGTTATTATTATTTATTTTAGATGGATTGGTTTTTGCTTTTGTTGATTTGGATTGATTTTCTTCTTGGTTTGCTTTCATTCCTATTATTTGAACAATTAAAGTATTTTAATGATAAAAAGAAAAAAAAAAAATAAAAAAATTAAAAAATAAATTTAATTTTTAAAAATATGTAGTGTGTTTTAATTTGGATATTAAAAGCAATTTTTGTAAAAAACTCATAATTAAAAACATTATGATTTAATTACCCTAAATATAATTAAGAATTTGTTTATAAAAACCATAAAATTAGGAAATAAATATTTAAATGAAATTTAATTTTATTTTATTATTTTTTCTTACAAAATTAAAGAGATACTACTAAAATGATTAATTTAAAAAAAGTAATTACTTTCTTTAAATATTGTATTGACTTGAGAAAGTGTTTCCACCACGTCCAGACCAATTGACATGGAAGAATTGTCCTCTTGGTTGATCGAGTTTTTCAAAGGTGTGGGCACCAAAGTAATCTCTTTGAGCTTGAACAAGGTTGGCTGGGAGATTAGCAGTTCTATAACCATCATAATAAGCGAGAGCAGCTGAAAAAGCTGGGGTAGCAATACCACTTAAGACAGCAGCGGAACAAACTTGTCTCCAACCTTCTTGAGCAGCACACATCTTATCGGTGAACCATGGATCTAATAAAAGATTATCTAATTCAGAATCTTTTTCGAAAGCATCTTTAATTTTACCAAGGAAAGTAGATCTAATAATGCAACCACCTCTCCATAATAAAGCAATGTTACCATAGTTAAGTTTCCATTTGTATTCTTTAGCAGCAGCTCTCATCATAGTGAAACCTTGAGCATATGAAACTAATTTTGATGCAAAGAGAGCATGTCTAACGTATTCAATGAATTTATCTTTATCACCAGTAAATTTGTTACCACAGTTTTCTGGTTTTGGACCTGGAAGGATGGTTGAGGCTTTAACTCTTTCTTCTTTTAATGATGAAAGACATCTAGCAAATACTGATTCACCAACTAAAGTAAGTGGGATACCGATTTCTAAAGCATTAATGGCAGTCCATTTACCAGTACCTAAAATATATTAATAGTTAAAAAAAGTATTAATACCAAAGTAAACTAAAAAAAAATTAACAATGATTATATGTTAATGTAAATGAATAATTACCTTTTTGACCAGCTGAATCTAAAATATTATCGACAACATATTTGCCATCTTCTTTTTTGGCAAAGATATCAGCAGTGATTTCGATTAAATAACTATCGAGGTCGGTTTTATTCCATTTAGTGAAAGTTTGTTGTAATTCATCATTGTTGAGACCAATATAATGTTTTAAGATAAAGTAGGCTTCGCTGATTAATTGCATGTCACCATATTCGATACCATTGTGAACCATTTTAACGTAATGACCAGCACCACCATCACCAACCCAATCACAACATGGTTGGTCACCTGGTTGAACTTTAGCGGAAATAGCTTGGAAGATTGGTTTGACATGTTCCCAAGCAGCTGGGTTACCACCTGGCATAATTGATGGACCGTGGAGAGCACCTTCTTCACCACCACTAACACCAGTTCCGATGAATAAGAGACCTTTAGCAGCGAGGTCTTTAGTACGACGATCAGAGTCGGTGTAGAGACTGTTACCACCATCGATAATAATATCACCTTTTTCTAATAATGGGACAAGGAGGTTAATGAAATGATCGACAACTTCACCAGCTTTGACCATCATCATAACTCTACGTGGAGTCTTTAAATTTTTAACTAAGGATTCTAATGAATGGCAACCAACAAACTTTTTACCTTTACCTCTACCTTCGACAAATTCGTCAACTTTAGCTGTAGTTCTATTGTAAACGGCGACGGTGAAACCACGACTTTCCATATTTAATACTAAGTTTTCACCCATAACGGCTAAACCAATTAAACCAATATCAGCTGACATTTTATATGATTTATATATTTAATTTATTAATAAAGTTTAAAAAAAAAATATTTTGTTTGTAGAAAAAGAGAAAAGATAAATAAATTTATTTATTTAATTATTATTAATTATTTTTATTAATTATATTATTATTATTATTATTATTAGTTATTAATTTATAATATGTGTATAATTATATAAAGAATGAATTATGAAATAAAAAAAATAATTTTTTTTTTTTAAATTATTTTTTCTCTTCAAAAAAAAAATTAATTTATTTTTTTTATTTTTTTTTTTTTTATTTTTTTTTTTTAATAATTCCCAAAATACGCTCCAGAATTAATTTTTCATATGTCCATACCCACTAATTAATATATCCATTTTATATTTAAAAAATAATTCAAATAACATAAAACAATGAATTTATTATTTTTATTTAAATTAAATTTGGTTATACATTAATGATGGTATAATTATTAAAATATAGTTTCATTAGATTAAATAATTTAAAAAAAAAACCATTAAACTAAAATTTTATTAATAAAAGATTTTTTTTTTTTATAAAATATACCTATATTTTAACTAAAGAATTATTTTATTGGGTTTATCTAATTAAATTCAACATTAATTCAAATAGAAAAAATGATTTCGTAAAAAAAAAAAAAAAAAAAAAAAAAAAAAAAAAATTTTTGAATCGCCCCCCGGATTTTTTTTTTTTGATTAGGGGGACCCCAAAAAAACCCCCTAAAATTTTTTTTTTTTTTTTTTTTTTTTTTTCAAAAATTTTTTGGGAAAAAGCTTTCTTTCCGGTTTTTAAAACCCCCCGGTCCTTTTTCAAAATCTTTTTTTTTTTTAAAAAAGGGGG